TCATTGTTGTTTTAGCTGGCTTGGGTTAGGTTTGAACTCCAGCCCAGGTGTATATGGCCAGCGCCCTACCCACTAAGTTATACGAGTGCCACCCCCTTCTTTGCTTTTAATTATAAAAGTAATGTGTACCAGGAACAAACTTAAATGCTTGAGTGTTAAAAAGTTAATTGTAAAATTTCCTTCCTTTTTTCAATCCCACTTTCTGGAATAATTACTGGTTATGGAAGATGTGTGTCTTTTCATTCTGTGAATAATATTAAATTAAAGAAGCTTTCAGAAGCAATTGTTTGTACTTTTTAGTGATAAATGTTGTTTACATTTTATTCTTGAATGTAGCACATTAGATTTTCAAAATGTTTTAAGTCTATACTGTGTGATTTCCTCATTAAAAACCCAAGGAAATTAGTGGAAGCTCCGAGGAGTTAGCTGACTTGTTTGAGCCACATGTAAGTGGCAGATTTAACATTCAGGTTTTCTGACTTCTTGTTAACAAGTTCTTTCTACTACTATATACTTTTGCCTTCCAGGTGAGTGATCTTAGGCAAGTTACTTTCCTTCTTTTTTTGCTTCTGTTTCTTCATCTTAAAGTGAAGAAAACATAACTTACTTTGTAGGATTATTATGAGAATTACTTAAGTTGATTATGTGTAAAGGGCTTAAAAATTTTTTTGGCATATTCTAAGTACTTAATAAATGTTAGTTGATGATGACAGTTTTCTAATTCATACCACTCTGTTCTATGTGCTTTGTTTTATCTCAGGTTATTAAACCTGAATCCTGTGTTCCATGTGGGAAGCGGATAAAATTTGGCAAGCTCTCTCTTAAGTGTCGAGACTGTCGTGTGGTATCTCATCCAGAGTGTCGGGACCGCTGTCCCCTTCCCTGCATTCCCACCCTGATAGGAACACCTGTCAAGATTGGAGAGGTATGACCTAGGGGGAACCGTCAGTTTTATGGCTTATTAGCCTTTCAAAGGCTTAATGTCAGTTTTTGTTCTGAAATTAATGATACTAACTATATTTCCTTCCATGAATCATGAATGGAAATTGTAAAATGTTTACTTATAGCAGAATCCTATTTGGTTCTTTTTTGTTTTTGTTTTTATTTTTTAAAAGAGATAGGGTCTTGCTCTGTTGCCTAAGCTGGAAAGCAGTGAGCGTCTTGATCATAGCTCACTGCAACTTTGAACTCCTGGGCTCAGGTGATCTTCCTGCCTCAGCTTTCTGAGTAGCTGGTATTAATAGGCACACACTGTCATACTTGGCTGATATTTAAATTTTCTGTAGAGATGGTGTCTTGCTATGTTGCCCAGGTTGATCTTGAACTTCTGACCTTAGGTAATCCTCTTGCCTTGGTCTCTCAGAGTTGCTGGGACTATTGGTATGAGCTACATGCCTGCCCGGTTTGGGTTCCTAACTCCTATCACTTCTATGATTATTAACTCATGTTCATTCTTGATTTATCAGTACCCTCATTTCCTCCTCTTAGCTCTGTCCGGTGAATTATTTTGAAGAAAATTTCAGCAATCATAAAATTTTACCTATGAATATTCTTTTTTTTTTTTTTTTTT